TATAAATAGTTGTGGAATAAAATTCTATATTTTCGATACTGAAATGTAAACAAATCCTTTGTTTACATACGGACTGTACCGCATCTTTAAACATTGCTTAAAAATAGTTCTAAACTCCAATTCCTGTGAATAATGCACACATTTCGAGGTGCAGTTCTGGCAAAAAGGGCAACCTGTTGCCCCCACTGCCCCCGTGGCTCCGGCGCCCCTGATGCTAGTTATCAATTAACCAATGAAATAGCTTCATTTGTCATTAATTATTCAAATAAAGCACTGTGCAATCGGAGGCCGGTCCCCAAATCTGGGAACTATCCACGTGACCTGAACAAGGATAATTATGCATCCAACTCACAGACGTTCTATCGCGCGCTTTGTCGAGAGTAACGGCTGTACACAGGCTACCACAAACGCTTCGCAAAACGTTTTAAAGTGTTCTTTATAAAACTAAACTGCCTTTAATTAAATGGCTTTATCGGTAAACTTTGAGTTTGCAATAAAATGATTTCAAATTGTCGCATGCAAATAACTTTGCTTTCTTTTTTATTTAAAAAATTCAATATAATAAAAAAGGGAATCAATATTAAAAATACACTGAAATTATATGCTGTCTTGTTTAGTTGTTTCATATACGCAAAGGCCGTCGGGTTTTAAAGCAATTATAAAATCAATATTTAAAACAAAGTTACCTTCGTTAACGTCGGCTCCCTTCTTTTAGCCGATTCTTTCGCCCTTTCATTCTTGAAATTTACAAAATCTTGCAAAATGCGAGCAAAAATGAAATATATTTGCAAGAAATTTATCAATCATCAAATCAAGAAATGTTTGCTATTTCGCTGTCGTTATGCAGTCGTTATAATGCAAACTTTAAGGAGGCTCCCTACAGTTCCGTGCGGGATGTTCGCGGGACAAGTACGTGAACTATCCCACGCAACTGCATGATCAAAACAAAACAAAAATTGACCATGCTTTTTTTAAAAATAAAGCTATTTCTGAAAGGTTTCTAATGGAAAAAAGCGTTGAATAATACTTCGTTTTGAGTGCCAAATCACTTGCGAGTCTATACAGCAATTCTACATATGATACGAATATCACTAGACCAAAAAATAACAACGAAACAACATTTTAAAATTTTTTTATACACTGTCCACTGACTCAACTGTAAAACATTTGCAAAATTGCATACAAACGTTTAAAAAGTTGTTTACTTCTCAAGAAAACGTTCACGTTTTTAGTCGAGTTTCTACAAGATTCAAGTGATTATATGGTAATTTTTACGAGTACAAATTATTGTTAATGGACGATACTCAATGCGCTAGACCTAAAAAATATAGATTTAAAATGTCTATGTTAAGCCAACTCGAAAGCTACTATTGTCTAAACAAAGGAAGACTCTATCACAGACTTTCATTATTTGCTTGCCAAACCCGTAGGCTACTGCACCCAGTATCGTTTATTAATTATTGTCCAAACCACTATGTTTGACCTATTCATAACTATAACAATGAAACTATAGTTAAACATGGGCAGATATCCGAGTTAGCTTTATCTGCCTATATCATTCTTACTTGGATTGCGAGCTGTAAAGACTGATTTAAAAAAGTCAAAAAGTTTTTCTCGCTAAGACGGTAAATCCAGACACCATCAAAGTCTATCTCGCAGCAGTACGCCATATGCATTTGGTTAACGGCTACGACCTTCAAATCACCAAATTTCAACGCCTACACTATATTTTGCGAGGTATAAAGCGAGTAAAAGGAGTGTCTACAAGAACACGCCTACCAATTACGTTAGACCATTTGAAATTGTTTCACCGCATATTACACTCACGGACATCGCCAACACATGATGAAACCATGATTTGGGCAGCGATTTCCATAGCATTTTTCGGGTTTTTGCGGATTGGTGAAATGACTTGCTCCGGTCCTTATAATTCTTCAACAAATCTTTGCCGATCAGATGTAAGTTTTCATAACAAAAAACGTGGGGATAACGAGGTTTTTCTGCAACTACGAATTAAAGCGTCAAAAACCGATCCGTTTCGAGCCTCAGCCACAATAACCATTGGCAGCAATTCTGGTATATATTGTCCAGTAAGGGCCCTTCAAACCTACCTTTCACGTGCGCCAACGGACTATATGCGGGACCATTGTTTTGCTACTCAAACGGTGTTCCTTTATCACGTAGTCAATTTACTAAGGAACTACGAACACTTTTGGCCCAAGGTGGTCATCACCCTGCTCACTATGCAGGCCACAGCTTTAGAATCGGAGCGGCTACCACAGCTGCGTCCCAAGGTTTGCCTCATTGGCTTATTCAAACGCTAGGAAGATGGTCTTCCGATTGTTACCTCAGGTATATTCGCACGCCAATCAATGTCCTTACAGACGTTTCAAAACGACTGATTGCAGAGTGAAATAAACACTCGATCGTTGTTTGTCGGTCTATGGGGATCACACACACTATCGTTGTGTGATTGTGGAGGCAATTGCTCTAGTATGAGGTCGCAATTTTACCATAGACCTCACGTTTTCTTTACGGAATTTGGCAACCTGGCATACAGCCAATTCCCATTTACAAAATCACTCTATTTCTGCATATGAGTATATGTGCTGAGCCAGATCAGTGTTCTAAGAAATATTTCCCTGATCATTTTTTCCCAGGGCCCAGCTCAGAGTATATGTCTTGCAGGGCAGGCTAGGATCCAGCTCTAAATGGAGTATATGTTCTAGCCGACTCAGGACCCAGCTCTAAATCCGTAAAAGTATATGTCTTGGGCAGATTAGGACCCAGCTGCAAATCAGTATATGTCCTAATCGACTTTCCCCAAGATCCAGCTTTTCAATACGAGTATATGCCCTGGGAACCGCTCAGCACCCAGCTCTTCGCAGATAAAAAAATACAGTATATAGAGCAGTTGTCCCACACTTCCATAACCCCACAAACCTTGTGTTCTTATGCGTGTCGTTATATTAAATATCTCAATATATATATATTTATTAAACGGTGAGGACATTAAATGTAAACAGAAAAATATTTCAGTTTCATAGCCTAATTGTTCATTTTTAGCACAAAGTACAAAACCAAACATAAAACAAAAAAACACGTCCACCTGTTAATAGGCCGTTACAGCTCATAGATTGAGTAAACGGCAGGATTCAATTAGCTTCAACCTTGTTTTCATCGATTTAATCCTTCACAATAATCTTTGGCTGTCCATAGCACTCAAATAAATCGAAAAGTTGACAAAAACAAAACAATAAAAACAACATTGCGGCTCGATTTTGCTGAATGAAAACTCGTTCTGCGCCCGCGTACAATCTTTTACTAGTCAGCGACGCTTTTCAATAGGGGAATTTCTCGAGTTACACGAGGCTATTTTCTAACTTTATTTGCATTTTACTCATTAGTTTCATCGGTGACCTATCTTCAAATTTTGACCACGAATTTATTTTGCGGTAAATTTTATAAATTTCAAATTTTAAAAAAATCTGTAGTGTGGAAATTTCGCAATAAATTTTTCGCTTTTAAAAAAATCACACACTACAGAATTTTTTTAAACTTTCACCACAGTTGCAGAGCATCATTCCTTATTGATATATGAAATAAATAAGATAGGTCACCGACATCGTTTTTGAGATAGCGGCACATTTATGGGTTAAATTGGAAGGCTTTATACTGTCGTCATGTTGCCATGGGAACATTGACATCGTCGAAATCTAGTTCGAAATATTCCTTAGGTGACCAATATTGCCACCAAGTCGAAAAGGATTCGCGTTCTGCACGAATAAGCCTGTTTTACGGAATTATTGCTTAAACAAGAATAACTGTAGGGAGCCACCTTAAATTGGACCAATCATAGTGTTTACTATTCATGACAGTCCGCCATATTTTTGAGATCAGTGAGGATGACCACCCACGCACAGTGAGCCACGCCCGCGATCATTGGTGAACTTTAGACTTCGCTAATGCTTTCGTTTCCCTTTCGGGTGTAAATAGCCGGGGGGAATTAGTACCCTCGCACGGCGCTTCGCGTCGTCGGCTCGGGGACTACAAGATTATAATTTATACGGTAGTTGTTTTGACTTTGTTAACTTTTTCCACAGCATTTGGGTGCAATGAATTTACTAACCAATCTTCTGCTATGTTGGTTTTGGATTCAAAATGCCAGCGGCAAGGAGGACAGCAGATTGCCGACTTTTTGCCAAAAGAGAAAAAATGTTGTGTTAAAAGTCTAGACTTTTGGGATAATCATCACTGGAAAGACCTTGATCATGAATTCAAAGAAAATCTTTTCGCAATATCTGGATCATTGGGCAAGTTTTTAGTAAAGGTATGACATGCATGCATGCAAAGTCAATTGTCTACATCTGTTGGAAATAAAATGTTCTCAATCCATTCATTTCATTCTTTTCGTTGTAATTGTTTCAAAATAAAGTATGCAACACTATATGCTCTTCGAGTTTGATATATCAGTATAGTATAAATTTTGCATATCAAATGAAAAGCGTATGGAAAGCATCTACATTATCAGCATTTTAATTGTGGTTGATTCAAAATTCAGACGATAAAGTTACATAGCTAGGAGTTGGCTTTTGTGCTCATCGAATATCCATTTTCATTCGCGGATTACCACAATTTGTTGATCTCATGGCTGCCAAAATCGACATATACATAAACCGGTAACCAAGAGCTATAAAACAAATAGCTTTTCAAAACTTTATTCAGTCAAAAGGATGAGGGTAAACAAAAGTGGGATAATGAATCAAATTTTGCTTTTTGCAATCCCAAAAACGTATGAAAATTATTTAAATATTTTAAGGTTTTAATTTTTTAATACTTTAAGGTTTCCGTGTTATAAAGTATTTTTGAGAAAAGTAAAATTGTTCCTGATAAAAAAGCATAGTTTCTGCAGAGAACTGTTTTTTTGAGATAGAATATCCTAGGAGAGGGGGTGTAGAAACATGGACGGATAGAAAAAAACCTTGACGTTTCCTCCAAAAAATTAATACCAAATTTTGTTTTGCCGTTGTTTGATATGTAATTTAAACGATTTTTTTTACAGCTAAAAATTGCCCCTAGTGATCAAAACTTGGATTATGTTCGCGGTATTGGCTATTTGTTTACTTTTGGAGATAAAAGTTTGAGGTCCAATTATTTTTAAAGTTTGAAAACTACCCAGCTAATTCTTGGCTGTTGTTTGCAGCCTTAGATGCTGATTAAAATTTAGTTTAGTCCACAATGGTAGATCCTTTTAATGAAGGGAAATTATAAATAGTGTATTTGATTACTGTTGCAGCACAGTCAATGCATAGGTAGGGTGCAATACCAGACCAAATTGCAAAAAAGTTGGCTATTTCTCCAAATTCAAAATCTTTTTTTTTGTTCCCAAGGCACATAGGAAACAGAATTGCCCCTTCGCATCTTATTTCGCTTTAAATGCGTGCATTTACAGTTCTTGTATTAAAATGTTATAATGAAATCGACAACTTGACCTTGTCCTTGAATATGACCTTGCTACTGGCAGAGTTGCAAAACCTGTTCAAATTTCCTCCAGGTAAAATTTAAAGTTTTCAAACCTTCCTCAAAATAAATTGAATAAATACTAAAATATGGCTTCATCAAATAGCAATATACTAGAGTATATAAACTTAACTGATTCTGAAAGCATAAAGTTTGAAAGAGACGTGTCGTTAAATGCAGTACATGATTCTAATATAGGGGGGCCCCTTCTAAGATATAATTTGCCGTAATAGATTTATACTTTGGACAAATTGGACAGTCCTTACCTACTACATCTACATCCTATATGATATATTGAATATAAAAAAAATATAAAAAAATACAATCATAGACTCAAGAGTCAAGATAATCTTTAAAATGTGATTGTTTCTGAATCTGTAATAAAAAGCACAACAGTACACGCACAAAAATTGAGAAAAATCAACAACTTGTTCCCGGGTGATATTGACAGGCGTGATCATGAACAAGGTTGTGCTGCCCACTATGAACAAGTTGTCAACAAAACATGCAACAACATTGTTGACAACTTGTTCATAGTGGGCAACACAACCAACGTGTGACCCGGCCAATCGCCCAATTTCACAGTCAGCGAGGCAGCGAATGCTCTCACTTGTTTCCGAAGCAAAGTGCTAAATTTAGACCATGCAGTATAGTGCCCTGCATGGCAGTTTATAATCAATGGCAATGTTTGGAATGGTTGAAAATCAATGGCAATGGCAATATAATCTCTATAACATACGCTGCCAATCCTGCCATATACTTATGGTTATTTTATAGTTTGTGGGAATTGACGGTGTAGGTATCAGGTATGTAAACAATGATTTCAATTATAGGACCTCGATACATTTTGTCGATCTGTATTAAATATGGTTAGCACTTTTTTCCATCCAGCAAACCGCCCTATCGATTTTGTAAAGTCGTTTCTTTTTGGATTTTTTTATTAATTCGGTTAGGGTTAGGGTTAGGGTTAAGGTTAGGGTTAGGGTTAGAGTTAGGGTTGAGGTTAGGGTTAGGGGTTAGAGTAGGGTTTGGGTTAGTTACATAGCCATTTAACACCTCTTCTATCTTGCGAAAAAGACGTCAGGTCAGTTTTCTGGATGGAAAATAGTGCTAACCATTAAATATGTATGACAGCTACACACCTCGGTAACCAAACTGTATTATTTTCGTCAGACTCACATCACACATGCTAAAATTTCTTTCTCAGCTTTATTTATAATTTTTGTGACAGTTTACAACATTTCACCTTGGCCATATTTATATAATTATTACAACGTTTAGTTGCTACAGCAACGATGGTTCATTTAATTTATAACTATTAATTATTCTCTAAAAACATTGGAATCATGTAATCAAATAATCTCTGAATAATATAATAATGTTCAAGGTGAATTTCTTATTGTAACCATGATGGATAGCTCTTAGTAATAGCCTCCTGTTATTCGCGGTGCAATGGTTTCAGGCGCCTCTGATGCTTGACACTTATACATTTTAATTTTACAGAATATTTTCAGTTATTGTGTTCTCAGTATTCTCCAATGTCATAGTCATGTTATAGGTACTATATCACAATAGTACAACCGCAACGTGTCAGCCTCAACTGCCTATTCAACTATGATTTATTTGTTTTACTTCGGTGTTAGCGACTGTTGACCACTATAAAACCTTCGTCACTGACCTCGCCTATGATAAACCTTCCTCGCGGGTAATGCCCGCAAGCCCGCAGCTTTTTTGCAACTCTGGCTGGCTACTGGCCTCAGCACTGAAATGTCTTTTGACAACGATAATTTACCAGTCGCGACGATTGGCTGTACCTCGGGCATGATGACTGCATATTTAGCGTGTCAAATGTCTTCTTGTTTGTGTCAAGATATTATTGCTGTTCAAACGAGATATTCTATACACTGGAAACGTAGAGTGTGTGAAAAAGTTGTGAGAAAGTCAGACCCATTCGCACATGATGGCCCACTCATTATATCCTGAGCTACAATCATCTTATCGTCGATATCACAGCACTGAAACCGCACTGCTCAAAGTTACAAACGATATCCTGCTAAAAATGAACTCGCAAGAAGTTACTTTACTGGTTACACTTGATCTTAGTTCCGCGTTTGACACTGTCAATCATGACGAAATATTGCTTCGTCGTCTCCGAAATGAGTTTGGCATTCACGGAAAAGTCTTGGATTGGTTCAAATCATACCTGCACAACAGAGGTCAGCAAATTTCTATCGAAGGTATACTATCCCAACGTTTCGATTTGGACTCAGGAGGTCCATAAGTGTCGTGCTTGGGTCCCCTTCTTTTTATTATAATTTTTATAAATTTTATTATATTTATTATAAATAATTGACTCACATGGTTATGCCGACGACACACAGCTCTACGTCAGTTTTAAGCCAAGTTTAAGTACATCACAGGAAGACGCTTTATGTGCGATGGAGTCTTGTATCGAAAAGATAAGACGCTGGATGATTCAGGATAAACTCCTGATGAACGATGGCAAAACTGAATTCTTGGTCATTGGCACTCGTCAGCAATTATATAAACTTCAGCCTATCAGCATTTCAGTTAATAATTCTGTGATTTCTCCTAGCACACATATTAAGAACCTTGGCAGCTGGTTGGACTCGAACTTAAACATGACGACTCATATTACAAAAGTACGTAAAGCCTGCTTTTTCCACCTGCATAATATCAGACGAATTAAGAAATATCTATCAAGAGACAACTTACTGATCCTAGTACATGCTTTCATCACCAGCAGGCTCGACTACTGTAACAGCTTATTCTACGGTCTCCCCGGAAAGCAAATATCTAAACTACAGCGTGTTCAGAATGCCGCTGCAAGATTAGTAATGGACGTTCCGAAATATTCTCATATTATGCCCGTACTGTATATGAACTACACTGGCTTCCGGTACATGCAAGAATGCAATTCAAGGTGTTACTATTTGCTTTTAAAGCTATACACGATCTAGCACCATCTTATATTAAGGATCTCATTAATGTTATATCGAAGTCGTCCTTCAACTTAAGATCTAACAATGGCACTCTACTGGAACCTCCAGCAGGCAGGATGCTTACTACCTTGGGTGCCCGATCCTTTCACGCGGCTGCACCTCATCTTTGGAATAGTCTTCCACTTGGTATACGTTCACTTACATCTACTGACTTGTTCAAGAAATCAATTAAAACTTATCTTTTTAGGAACGTTTTTACTGACTTTTTATAAGATACGGATATTGAATTTTAAGAATGTAAATATTTAATAAATTCATCAGTAACAATGTAAATAATCAATAATGTAAATATTGTATCTATTCTTAACTCTGCGAAGCGCTTTTGATCAATTGTCGTAAATAGCGCTATATAAGTAATAAATTTATTATTATTATTATTATTATTATTATAGGGGCCGATTACATCGGCGAGTTGTCCCGGCTAAGCGAGTTGATTCGCTTTGCCGAGTTGACCCTCTTCCTATATGTATTGTCTATTATTTTGACATTTCGATTAATAACATCAAAATGATATTAATGAACGTTTTCAAGGTTTAGATAGGAAGTGACACAATTTTGTTAGGATACAAACAGTATAAGCCTGCATGTTGAGATCAGCGCTATGTGTAAATACCTCAACCAACAACATTCAGTGGGTAAAATAGTCCTCAAATACAACAAATACGCCATTTTTAATCGATTTCTAACACCGAGTATTAAATTGTTAAGCATTACAAATCTTAATGAGCTACTTCAGGCCGGCTAGCCGGGTTAGCGCGGTGCATGTAATCGCAATTCAAAAGTCAACTCGATTAGCCGGGACAACTCGGCAAAGCGGGACAACTCGGCCCATGTAATCAGCCCCTTACTTTCTCTTTGTCTCAAGCAAAAAGTATAGAGATTAAACAGGCATTCAAAAATATAAAACAACCGCGAGCGTCTCGCTAATTCTTCGGGAAAATCTTCAAGTTTCAATGGAAATTTTGGTTAATCTGGCGCATGCGCAACAAATTATTTCCCAGCTGTTTATATCTTGCTTAGTTTTCAAAATATTTCGACCGAAGGAAGTGAGCTGTTCGCCATCCTGGATTATTGAGGATGGCATGTGCTAAAACCTGGACGATGGACGATGGATGATTTATATTTACAGTCAAAACACTAAAACCCGCATACTTCCGCTCTTGTACTTTGTTGTCATTCATTGTATATTTCGTTGTGTATTAATAATAATACTAATTTTGCAATACTTGTAACAAAGAATGGCTTTTCCGTAAGATTCACTGCATTGAGTAGCAACATTTAAAGTAATGCGAAACAAAATATAGTTTATGATAACAAAATGATAACATATTGCTTTATTATTAACTATCATTTATTGTTTTATATCATATGTTTATTATTATTAGCACTGATGAAGATCCGGGCTTACGGATCGAAAGCTTTGCAGTAATAAATTTACGTGGTGTTTCCACAAACAAAAACAATTATCATTAAAATTGCTGAAGCAGTTTTAAAAATTAATACAAATATCACGTTCCCGCCAAAAATCGCGGGGGAATTTCTTTTTGCGCTTGCCAGGCTAGCCTCATGTAAAACAAATAACAGCTTGGCCCGGCGAAGCTAACTAGCCCCGTAGCCCGGTAAGGACCAGCCCAGGTAAAATTATCGTAGCGTAATGATTTAATTGAATCCGGAGTGCCAAACGTAGTGGTCTGTAGTGTATTCGCTTAGTACGGCAAACCACTCCGTTATAGTGTAAATACAATACTAAGAAACGTAGTGAATTTTTAACGAAATTGATTTGCATTCAGAGTGGCCAATGTAGTAAGTACGCTACGAAAAACCACTCCGTTATAGTGTAAACACAATATAGTCTCAATACTAGAAAGTAGAAAGTTAACGTAGTATAAAATTTATAACGGATGTTAGCCGTAGCGTCATAGTGTAACGCGGCCTAATATGAGTGACAGTTCTTTAAATAGAAATTATTCAAATTACTTCTATAATCAATGCTCTGTAATCAATGCTTAAAATGTTACAATTCTCCGCAACATTGCACTTTTATCGCGGCCTGTTGATTATTGTAATTATTGCTCAAGTTCAAATTTACTTCCAATCAGTGCGGATTATACGTCCTATGACAGAGGAGGTTCGACAGCCAATTAGGCGAACATCTCGACCAATCAGATTGCGCCATTTTCCTCATGCTCGCACCAAGCTTTTGGCATCGAAAATTTACATAGGGCTCATAAATATCGATTTTTTTCATATTGTTATGCAAATTTTTTGGGAAATTTCACGCGATACTACTTTTACAACAGTCAATCTACCCACTGGAACGGTATCTTAAAAGGTAAGCGTCATTTTCCAGTTTATTTTGACCTCTCACTTAGGCGGTATGCCGTCGCGATGTAATTTAATGGCGTTTCTGTCAACAATCTTTGAAGACAAAAATCTCAAATCTCCATGGTTCGATTTCGCTATTTTTTTCACGATTAGCTAAATAAAAGTATAATCTTTAATTCTATCCAGCCGGCCCCCCTCGGCCACTCAACCGTTTTCGAGATATTCACCGTTGAATATAATAGCCCTTTGTAAAATATCCTGCCTTGTCACTCAGATCAATAATGAACTGCTATTACTAGCTTTTTTCTAAAGAAATTTGATATACTACAGAAGTTTCGATATATTATGGATTTATATGTATTGTTTAAAGTATGTAAGTAATTAAAGCACTTCTGTAACAATATTTTATTGCTGAAATTTATTGTTTGGCTGATGTTTTAGATTTGAGATTCGTGATTTTGGCTAGTGGATTCTATTTTTGTCACTGATTTTGTCTGCAAGAATTAAGCATCATCATTAAATTTGGAGTTCTAAACTTGTTCACCTCTCTGGTAAATGTAATATATTGATATGATGACTTCTGGATTTTCAAAACTAACCCAGCGACAACAAGAACAACTACTCATCCACCTGTTTCAAAAATGGCTGGTAAAACTTAATCCTGGTTTAGATGCTAAATTTGTCCCTCAAAATTTTCTCCCACTTGTTGCCAAGGCTATGTCTGTACTTCATGCTGGTCAAAAAGACAATCTGATTTATATAGCTGCTCGATGCTTTGGAGAACAACGCCATGGAGATGTTAATTGGTCCTAGAATGCCATTGGATAGAATGCCCTTTATAGCAGTGAAGGCCCACTTGGCCTTTTTTAACAGTATTTTGTATAAATGCTGTTACACAACTAATTCAGATAAAGTTTGAGAAATGGTTGTTCTTATGCACCTATCAATGTTAAGCCCCACAGAGGGGGTCGGACATATGTGGGGCATTTGATTTTTTGAGCAAATTTTCAATCAAATGCCCCACTGTTGTGCAATAAATATTGGTCAAATACTCTAACAATTTGCAATAAACTGCAATAAATACTATATTAATAAAAGTCATTTTGGTTCAAATTACCCTAACTCGGGCCCAAAATCCTGATCAAAATCCCTAGGGTGGGGATGCAATTAATGATCAAATACCCCAGATCTGGGACTTAACATTGATAGAGCATTATATGCAGGGTTTTTTTGTATTCTCATATAATGTACCACAAAGTATCAGCAGCATGTTATTGTGGGACCTTGGATCAATATGTATATATAAAAAGACATATTTTTGTTTTATTGTTACATTAATTTTAATGAAAAAATACTCACAAAGTTGGTCAAGTGGATGTATAAACTATTTATTTATTCATTTAGTGTACAGCACATGTTACAATTATGTACTTAATTGCATGAGTGTGCATGGCAGACATTGTTTTAATTGCACCCACTTGTGATTAACCTAGTTTTTGTTTAAAAATGCTGACAAAAAATCTAAAAAGTTAGCGAATTGAAATAACAGCATTTCTATAACTTGCTATAAGTTGCTAAACCTAGTCAGTTGCTATTATATCACAAACATCTGTCAACATATGCTCTTCTTTACCACTTGAGTCTCCCACTCACCACATTACTTTATGAAATTTTTGGATAAAATCCTATTTTAAAAAAGTCAACCCTATACTCATATGCCGAACATAGACCTCTAAGATATCTCCTTCGGCAATTAGTGGGTGCAAATACTCGCATAGTTCAGAAACAATATAACCAACATGTGTCCATCCAGTTCCATATAGTCCAGATCAATTGCACTTGGGTCCATTGGATTCAATTGCTCTGGCCATATTCTTTATACATTCACTGGTTTATCTTGTCCATGAAGAGCAAGGTATATTGCCTGTTCCAAATGATGTAGGTAGTTTTTCTCATGAGCAGCACTGATGCACTTGAATGGTACAGCATGGGTGATTTCGTTCTCGTCACTTTCATCCTCATCACTTAACTGGTCACCACTTTCTGCCCTATCACCTTCATTACCATATCCATCCTGACCAGGTTCAAGACCAGCCAACCACTCAAGTAGATCTTTTTCTACAAAATCATAACAAGAAAATTTTTATACATAACAAGAAAATTTTTATAAAATTTTTATAAAAATTTTATAAATTATTTTATACATACACTGTAATATCTAAAATTAGCAATCTAATGCAAAAGTGTGTCACTATTTACAGTAATATTAGAACAACACACAAATATGGCAATATTATTTACAGATGAAAATTGAAAAATATATAACTACTGTATGCACATTTACTGTATGTAAAAATCTATCCACAACTAGATACAAACAGGCATCATACTTCAGCAAAAATTTATTAAACAATTTGTTTAACTCAAAACATGTACATAATATATCACAGTGACACAGTACATAGACACACACAATAGGGTCAAACTAGAGGCAATAAACACAGATATTACGCTATAATTTTGTACATTGTATTTCTGAAATTACAGTACAGTACAAGAATAAAAACAACAAA